AGCGGGGATGCTCACATGTTGTATTTGCTGACTGCCAGCGTGATGCCAATGTCAAAAAGGTAACAGGCCAGCAGCCCCACGCCCGGCCCTGCTTCTTGCTGCTGTGTGCCGATCTCCCAGGCCCATGGAGAGGCTTCCATGCCTCTGGCACTGGAGAGGTGACACTGCTGACAAAACAGTCTTCATTTCTGACTTACCCAAGACACCCTGTCCTCTGCTTGACCCCCATTTCACGTGTCCTCCTGGCATGGTGTCCTCCGAGCGAGTGGCTGCTGCCAGTCCAGGCGCGGGGCTGCAGTTCCAGCCCTCCTCTGTGTTTCTCTGCAGATTGTTCCCCTGGTTGCCCAGCTGGTGGGTGAGAGCCCACGCTACCACAGGGCTGAGGTGAGACGTGGCGGTGAGACAGCCAGCATGTGTGCAGGGAGTTGGGGTGGCTGTCTGCAGGTCACCTCCCTCTCCACCTGGAGGGACGAGGCTTCTCACACGCTTGCCAGAAATGCTGGCAAAGGCCAGGTTGTTTTGCTGTTGTGGCTGTGTATTGCTCGCAGGGTGGGTGGTTGGTAACTGGCCGCTCCTTGCCCACATCCCTCCTTGCTTCCAGAGCACCGACTACAGCATCCTGGTGATCGGCGTGCCAAACGTGGGCAAGTCCTCGCTCATCAACTCCCTGCGGAGGCTGCATCTCAGAAAGGGTATTTCTTTGTGGTGCCTTGGCTCCGGGAGGAGCCATGGAGTGGGCAGCAGGGCAGAGCATCTTGCTTTTCTGACTCTGTCCCTCCTTTCACTGAAGGGAAAGCCACTGCGGTCGGTGGTGAGCCAGGCGTCACCAAGGCTGTGCTGACCAGAATCCAGGTACCATCCCTGCGGTGCAGTCGGCTGGGTAGGTGCTGGCCTCTGCCTCCCTGCGTCCTCTTGCAGCTCTGCAAAACCTTGAGGCACGCAGAGCTGACCTGAAAACAGTAGCTCGCGTCCCCTTTCCAACGAGACCTTAACAAAAGAGCTCAACTCCTCCCTGGTTAGCCGCATCAGAGTCCACGGTGCTAATTACCAAGTGCCGTGTCCTAACGGCCCTGCCTGCTATTGTCACAGGTCTGTGAGAAGCCCCTGATGTACCTGGTGGACACGCCGGGCGTGCTGCCCCCAAAGCTGGGGGACGTGGAGACAGGCATGAAGCTGGCGCTGTGTGGTGAGGTGGAAGCTGTGGCTGCGGGGGGGATGGGACACTCACCAAACATGGCTTCGCGCCCCTGTTGGGCCTGGGACATGAGGCTTGGGCAGCAGTCTGGGGCTTGGTGCAGGGCTGGGGGAGAGCTGGGGCTTCACCCTCTTTTTTTCAGGAGCCATTCGTGACCACCTGGTGGGGGAGGACATGATGGCCGACTACCTTCTGTACACCCTGAACAAGCAGCAGCAGTTCAGGTGAGCCTCTGGGGGAACCAGAGTGAGCCCTGGGCTGTGGCTGCTGCCTGTGGTCCCAAGCAGGTGATGGAGAAGCTGTCCCCAGGGAATTGGGGGGGAAGGAAAGTGATGCCAGCAGTGTGAGAGCCACCTCCGTCATCGGCAGGTACGTACAGCGCTACAGGCTGGCCGAGGCCTGTGATGACATTGAGGCCGTGCTGAAGCACGTGGCCCTTGCCCAGGGCTGGACGCAGAAGGTGAAGGTGCTGACGGGCACAGGTGAGTGCTCGGGTCGGGGATCTCTGCCACCTATGGCACAGGGACCTGGCTTTTGCGGCTCCTGGGACAGCTCCAGCCTCTGCTGATGCTTCCTGTGCCCACCGCCCTCGTCTGCAGGGAATGTCAACGTGACGACACTCAACTACTCGGCCGCTGCTTACGAGTTCCTGCGGGATTTCCGGGCAGGACGCCTGGGCAGGGTGACGCTGGACTGAGAGCTGTACCACGGGAGAGAGGCACCGCCTGCAGCTGGGTGGGCTGGTGACACCCTGGTCCCCCACAGGGCTGGGGCCAACTCAGCAGGGAGCTCTGGTTTGTGATTAAAGCGGCTCTGCCAGGGTGGCCCCTGATTTCAAACACCGGGTTGCTGCAAGAGGCTGGGGGGACAGGGTCCCTGTGGTGGGGCATGGGGCTGTCCTGTGGTGGCTGCCTTGTGGTGTCACGGTGCAGGGTGACACATGGGGAGTGTGGCACCCACCCAGGAGGGCCTGGGGCGTGACAGCTGCCTCCAGCCAGGACAAAACCCCCAGAAGCTGTTTCCTGTCTGTGGTCTTGGCCCTTTCTGGGACTCCCATTCCGAAATAAAACCTCACTGGGCAGAGCAGGCCAGGG